TAAAGTGACATGACATGCCTTTGTTGTTGAGATTTAGACAAACAAAAGTTGCAGCTTGCAAAAAATTGTCATCTTTGTTTTGGTTACTCCACATGATTTGTTATTTTGTGATTTGCGGAAATTTCCTTAGTTTATGTACGTCACATTCGCTTGTTGAAATGGAACTTCATTTCCTATAAAGCACATATCTCATGCTCTTTCCTAAATCTATAGACATACTCTTCAAGAGATATTCCACATAAAATAATATTTGTCTCTCTTGTGTTTGGTTGTGTCACCATCCCGAACCCCACTAAAAGTCGTGATGGTGCCTAATCCGCTTGCTAGACAAGCCAACACTCACATTAATAACAGAATTCAATTGTTAAGCCATTAACTGATTCACAATATAAAAGCAAAGCGGAATAAATTATAACTCAAATATCAAATGTGCATAAAACTCAGATAGGGTCCACACAAGACCAAAAATGTCTCATAAACTCTCCAAAAATACGGGTGTCATAGCTAGTGACAACTCACAAGCATCTAATAAGAGTACAAGATCTCAACTTAATACAAGGTCTGTCCGAAAATGACGAAGATACAAAGACAGGTACAAGCATCTGATAAGAGTACAAGATCTCATGTGCTGCGGATTGCATCAAGTAAGCAGCACACCACGAAGTCTCCTAAAAGCACTCCTACTCTGCTGGGTGATTACCTCCAAAACCAGTCTTAAAACCTGTACAAAATATAGAAGTGTAATATGAGTACAAAACCACGGTACTCAATAAGTATCTAATTAACTTCGAATAAGTAATTGCAAGTATTGTCACTAGTCGGACCTACTAACCGCTTAATAATCATAAGATGCATAAACAACATATGGGAAGTGAGTGGAGAAGGTAATACCTCCTTTTCTTTACCTTCACACTCTGATTGATGTTTTCTATGATGAAAACGAGAGGGAAGCAAATTCAGAAGGCAGTGATAAAAGCACAAGCAAGTCATCCAACTAAAAGAATCTTGCATGTGCAGGGCGGCTCAATAAGTTTGGTGGCCTAAAGCCAAACTTTAATGGGAGGCCCTTTTAAAAGAATCATATATATTTTTAGTTAGAAGTAGATTTTTCTAGCTTTTTGAGAATAAAATTACTTAAAATTTTTCGCATAAACCATTTAATCTCTCATGTGCAGTATGATCTTAAGTAATAGAACATGATTCAAGAAGTTGATAACTTTGTATTAAAAGAATTTTTTGATTTTTCAATATACTTGTTGCAATGATAAAGGCATGAGGAAAAAAATAGAGTTTAAAAGTGTATTACATATTTTCTAATGATTAATGTAATCCTTTTTTTATATAAAATATTTTACTTTTCTACTTTGAAATACTTAATATTTTCTTAAAAAGATTTGGGGCCTCACGAGAAGAGTTGTGGTGGGATGGATAGCATATCTCCTTCTTTAATCGGAAGTATTCGGTTTCATTATTTGGAATGAAAAAAAAACCCTTATTAGGAATAGTTCCCACTTTAATGGACTTTACACGGTACGAATTTGAATTAATCAATGCCCCAAATTAAATATCGAATATCAAATAAAAATTGGGGCCCCCAAAATTTTGGGGCCTAAAGCCACTGCTTTAGTGGCTTTACCCTCTGCCCGCCCTTGTGCATGTGATCACTATGGTAAGACATCGCATATCAAACAGTACTTTCTAGTTGAAACATAAAAATAATAATATGGCAACAACGAGGACCATCTTGGTATTGTTGTTCAACATTTCTTTTTACCCCTATGACACGCCTTTTTAGTCACAGAAATGTAATGACATATTTAAGATCATAAATTTTAAAATCCTCTATTGTTATCTTTAACTCTGTGCCCTATAAAATAGTGTTACGTAAAGTGAAACAGGGGGAATATCAATTTAGAATGCAATGAGACTATGGGTGTGTTTGGTATAACGGAAAATGTTTTCCAAGAAAATGTTTTCTTGGAAAACAAGTAGTAATCTTATTCATTTTCCGGTATTTGGTACGCAAATTAAGGAAAATAACTTCTCAAGAGTATTCATAAATAATGTAGATACAATAAATATGAAGCCATAAACTTTCGAACCAACAACCTTTATAAAAAAAAATTTGCGGGGGGGAGGGAGGGAGTGTCTGGGGGTGAGTGGTGCAGAAAAACGAAAAAACAGAAAACAGATAATTGAAAATACAAAAATAAAAAAAATAAGAAAAAGTAAAAAAATAAAAAATTTGCTAGGGGTTTGGGGGGGGGTACGTAGGGTGGGTGGTGACGAAAATCTGAAAAAAAGCCTTTTTGGAGAGAGGGGACGGGACAGGTGGGGTAGGGGAGAGAAGGGGGAGGGGCTTGGGGTTAGATGTGAGGGTAGGTGGAGTTTTTGGAAAATGTTTTCCTAAATTTTTCTATGTAAGTCATTTTCCTCCAATTTCAGGAAAATATGATATCTAGGAAAATATTTTCCAAACTATTTTGTGCAACTAAACAGTGAAAAACGGAAAAATGTTTTCCATCATACCAAACACACCCTATAGCTGGTCGTTGATACTAGTGCTTTATAACATGTCTATGCCAAGGAAAGATCGGAATTTCCTTTCGTTAATTCGTTATTACTTTGATTGAGCAAATGCTACTTCATGTTCCATTTTCAAAAACCAGCCCATATCCAGAAGAAAGGTTATAATACTTACAGGTAAACATCGGACAAAATTTCTCCAACTAGGTGACTGATCTACATCCAGATAAGGAACTCAGTGAAGGAAAGAGAACCTTAATTCCTGCAAAAGAAACTTATGAACCATTTAGGAACGTCAGACGCCTGTATCAATCAATTTCCAACATCTACTTATCTCTGCCAAAACAAACGACAAACAATGATGTAATGTATCTCATATAGCTAAAACTTAATACAGATTGGAGACAAATGAACCAGCATAACAAATAGTAAAAGAACTGAATTTATACCATGTTAACTAAGGAAAACCAGTAAAAACTAACAAAGAAATTGTCTCTAAGACTATAATCATGTAAGCGGAAAAGTAAAGCATATAAAAGGGTGCTTTAGAAAGAAGTTATGAAAACAAAGATTTAATCAGTCAATTCAGTTATTGTACACATTATATCCTAAGGGTAGACAAGACTTCATAAATCAAAAATAAAAGGTCTTATAATCTAAGAAAAATCATCCTCTACAAAGATTAGGCTAAAATATTGCATGATGCAAGCAAAATCCATCAGTTTTTAGGAGTCAACAAAAATGCAGTCAACAATCCAAGGATAAAATCAAAATAAATCAATAAATCGAAGCAAGCTTTGTGACGCTTCTTCAAATACAAAATATTAAATATCTACAAAAGTTAACATAGATTGGAGAATTCTCAGGCACATTTTTAATTGTTCAAGGAATTCAACAAACTATAAAACAGGGGAGTAAGCTGTTCTATACGAAGATCATCTATTTAAGAAATCTGTAACCATCAATCAGCCAAGATAGTCAACTGTCATGGGCTAGTGTGATAATAAAGAAGATATTTATGTGAAGATTAGCTTAATCATACTAAAATCATAGAATGTGAATGACATAGATGATTAACATATAGTGAGTATACAGAGCGTCCCCTTTTCCTGATGGCTTGAAGTCAAGCTTTACACAACACTACACATGCAAATGGCTGTCTAAGTGATGCATATTGGAACTTCCAGAGCGTTCAGAGAAATACTTTAAAAGTAGATAACTTGTGAAAAGGAGTTATATCAACCCAAATAAATTTTGCTAGTTTGAGTAATAAAACTACCAAAGCTTCACTTTCCAAATATTACATACAACAAAAATATACCAGCATGACATGCAGAGGCGAATGCAGCCTTTTGGTTATGGGTTAATCTCAACTCAAAACTTTCGACATGGAGTATAATTATATATGTAAAAACCTACTAAAATATCAACAAGTTTAGATCTGAACCCATAATTTTAACAGTACAACGAGTTCAGTGCAAGGTTAAACCCATTAAGTTTAAATCCTGAATCCACCTTTGATGACATGTTCACTCCTTGATTGTCCTTCATTTCAGAGGTTCTAGGAGAGGATGTAGTTCCAGCATGACATGAAAGTTTTAAAGTTCAGTGACAATCGGCTAGACCAAAGTGACGACATACATTAAAGAAGGTTTAAGCTTGCATGACTCTTGACACTCAAAACGCTCTTTCAATTTGTTTCCCGTGTCGTCAGCCCAAGACACAGCAACATCTCAAAGTTTTTAACCAGAGTTTCATCCCATGCAAAGGTGTCATCTAGGTTAAACCCATCTTCTGAATAGCATTCTAATATAGCATCTTCACCACCTTTTTGAGAAGACAGTAGTTTAAAGAGACAACAAATTATTTACCAGCATCGAAAAGCTTGGGCTCGAATAAGATAGAATGGATATAGGAGACTCACAACCAATCACAAATAGGTTGGGATTGAGGTATAGTTGATTGCCATAATGTAATTCGAGGAAGACGACAACTTGTGTCTCTGACCTGGCATAAACAGCCTCTTTCCTTCCAGGACTCCCATTTCATAATTAGTCCAGATCACTGCTTGTCCTCTTTCAAATTTACCAATTATGTGGAGTTCCTCTCAATAATTTTTCTACACGACTAAGATGCACCAGAAATTATCAGCTTCTCTCTCCTCTCTCCTCTCTCTCTCTCCTCCCTCTACAACGGTCAGCTCCCTTCCCCCCACNTCTCTCTCTCTCTCTCTCTCCCCTCTTCTCTTCTCTTCTCTTCTCTTCTCTTCTCTTCCCCTCTCTCTCTCCCTTCTCCCCTCTCTCACGTCCCCCACCGGTAAGCCCACCCAGCCCTCTGCCCCCCCCCCCCTAACTCCCCTGTATTTGACGTCATCCCCCCCCCCCTCCCCATTTTTTGTATAGATTTCTATTCCCCATTCTCCCTTTCACCCTCCTCCTTCCTTATCCACCTCCTCATCACCCCTCACCCCACCCCCCTTCCCTGTTATTTTCAGGCAGCCAAAAATTATCTCCCATGACATCCTTTTCAGTGTTTTCCAATTATGCAAAAATGTTAGATTACCAGAATACCAGTATAACTCTCTTCCCAATGGTCAAAGCACTAGTTCCTCTAAAGTGTGCCTCAGCCTGATCGCATCATCAAAAAAGAAAGAACTCATTTTCCTCCACCATAGCTCATTCTTTTTACTGGAATGTAGCAGTGACTCGGATCTGAATCACTCCTCTTTTATTGGCATAAACCACCAGAACACCGTCGCCAGATCCTTCAAATGTTGTCCTCTGAAGAACCACCAAGCGGCTGCACCCAACTACTACCAGGAAGTTTCTTTATTCCTTTCGCTTTCATCGCCGATCTTAGGCTGTTGGCATCATTGCAATTAAAAAGAAAAGACAAACTGGAAGCAAGTACATAGTTTGATCCGAGTTCAGGCTCTATTTTGAGCAGAATATCTCTTATATTTTCGTTTGGACAAGGAATACGACCATGATGCTTACAAGCACTAATGAAACTCCTCAGTATCACAGAATTGGGCTCTATAGGCATGCTCTTTATAAGATCATAAGCTTCTTCTAATTCTCCAGCACGTCCAAACATGTCCACCATGCATCCATAGTGTTCCATAGTTGGCCTGATGTTATAAATACTTACCATTTTATGAAAATATTTACGGCCCACATCAACAAGTCCTTTATGACTACAAGCACATAGAATCGCAGAAAATGACAAGCTGTCAGGTCTAAAGCCAGCTTCTTCCATGCTGGTAAACAAGGATACAGCTTCTTCTCCATGGCCATTATCGGCAAGGCCAGAAATCATGATGGTCCAGGTCTGCAGATTTTTATCAGCCATTGAATTGAAGATGTGGAAAGCCTGCTCTATATGCCCGCATTTTGCATACATTCCTAGGAGGGCTGTTTCCAGTTCAACATGTAGTTCAATACCACTGGTGACAATGTGCGAGTGAATACATCTACCTAATCTGATATTCAGGACATGAGTACATGCTCCAAGCAAGCTGACCAAAGTGATGGAATTTGGCTGTTCTTTTGCTAGCTTCATGCTTTGGAACAGGAGCAGAGCATCTGAAGGCAAGTTACTGGGACATCCAGGAAAAAACTGACTATTATGACTTTGAAAAGCAGGACATAAAGCAAATACCTCATTTTAAAAGTTAAACAGGAAAAGAAAGCAGCAAGACAGTCATATTATCAGATATTCAACATCAAGGAGATGGAAAAGTAGCAAATATTCATTCACATGCCAAAAGAAAGGGGTTGAGAAAAGGATACAGAAAACCATTAAATTGGTCCACTATATGATTCTGGAAAAAACCTCTATTTCAACTTCTATTACTTCTATAAAAGCAGAATTGGTCCACATTTGTTCAAGAGAACCATAAATACTTTGTGCAACAAATTGCTGAATGATGGAAACAAGATTACATTATTCATGGAAACTGACACCTCTTATGCATCAGCAGTCAGACCTAGCAAAACAAGTTTAGCCCTTACTTGAAACACTCGAAAATTTACCCAAAGCTTGTATTTCAGTCTTGTGTTCTCCCACATTACAACGATCATCTCACTTTGATTAATTACTAAAACTGTTTATTGCATCAGCATTTAACTCTTTGGGTACTACCAAATACCTTCCACAAATATCTATAGCAGCGACACATCGTCTTGACATACTTTCAGGGGTATCCAGAAAACATAACTAGAAGCCTGACTCCAGAGTTATATATTCATATATTTAGGAGGAGAAAGAAGAAATATCTGAAAATAAATAAATACATAACACAACAAAAAGCCCGAGTCAAAAGCAATATGGAGAAAAAATTTCTTACCACAGTATGTAGAAGAAATATTTTGAGTAAGAGAAATAAGAACAAACTGAAATCTAAGAATAAAATAAACACATACCGTCTAAGTTTCATTTTATATGACAATGCTTGAGTCAAACAGGGTTTATAAGAAAGAAGAGAGTTTATAATAAAGAAAAGAGTTTATCACAAACCCAGTATGTTGTTGTTGTTGTTGTATATCCTAAACATCTAGTTGTGTTCAACATGCCATAACAATCCTATGTGAGAATTAGAGGCAGATCAAGGATTTGAATTTTATGGGTTTTGGATTCTAGTACAGCAACCTCAATTGCCGGTAGGATACTGAATTTAATTTTGCATATATTTAATGAATTTGGAAGGGGAGCCTTGGCGAAACTGGTAAAGTAGCTGCCATGTGACTAGGAGGTCACGGGTTAAGCCGTGGAAACAGTCTCTTGCAGAAATGCAAGGTAAGGCTGCGTACAATAGACCCTTGTGGTCCGGCCCTTCCCCGGACCCCGCACATAGCGAGAGCTTAGTGCACCGAGCTGCCCTTTATATATTTAATGAATTTCTTAACACATATACAGGGTTATGGGCCCAAGCTACTGGTTTTGCCACCTGTATCTTAAAGCCTATCTCCGCCCTTAGAGAGCATGTCATTAAGGACAAACTAAAAATTATTAAGATTAAGAATTTCCTAATACAGTAAGGTGTCTACGAAGATTGAGGCAATAACATATCATATAAAATGGAACTGAGGAAGTAACAGATCTTACTGAAAAAGAATATCGCATACCAATGAACATAAGCGGCTATCATAGAACTCCAAGAAACTATATCCGTCTCAAGCATTTCATCAAACACTCGTCGTGCAAACCCGACCACACCAAACGCTGCATACATTCTCAAAAGGGTATTGTTCACATGTATATCCAAACTGAAACCGGACTTGAAAGCAATTGAATGCAACGACCCACCAGTTCCAATCATCAAACAATGCCCACAAGATTTTAGTACAACAGGTAATGTGAATTTATCTGGTTTTAATCCCATTTTCTGAAGCTGGTTAAAGAGCTTCACGGACTCAATTTTCGTGGAGCTTTTTGAATATACTCTCATCAGTGTGTTCCAAGCGAAGATTGGTGGAGTAATTGGAGAATTATCGAAGATTGTGCGAGAGAATTGGAGAGATATTGAAGATGAGAAGGATATGAATTGGGAAAGACGATATTCGTCGTGATCAAGAGCTATTTTGATTATGAGAGAATGAAGTTGGAGAAGATGGAGAGTCGTTTTGGACCGTTGGAAAAGTGCCTCAATTTGGTGGGAAATCATTTCTAAGCATTATAGTTGATGTAGAGTGCTCTAATTGCAAATTATTTAAAGGGAGGAAGATTTACGGGAGAAATTAAAAATAGCCAGATTTACCACTGGTCGTTGAAAAATAGCTAAGTTTCAAAAGTCATCGAAATTTAGCCACTTTAAATTTGAGCGAAAATACTGCTCCATGATCCATTAGT